AATGTCTGTCTTCAATATGTAAATTTTTAAAAAGAAGGCACATAAATCAATAGGCAAATGATAATAAAAGTCAGAAGAGTACCATAATACAAAACTATCTCACTGACCTCTATGACAAGAAAGTTTTGCATATTCTTGAGCCAAAAATGTACAGCAAATTCAACATGGGTAGAAAACAAGAATGGAAACCTTGGTAAAAGGAAGAACTTCCAAAGACAAACTGCAGATGAAAAAACTTGAAGGACAAAAAATTATACACAACAAGAAACCAAATATGGAGGAAACCCAGTGGCAGTTCAAAATTAATGAAATGCTGAAATTCTGAATACTTATAAATAAAGTTACGAAGTTCTGAATATATATACGTATAATTTAAGTGGGCCATCCCATCACTAAACTAAACTTTAAATAAAACATTCAGTGCCAGCCCTTATCAAACATATTTAATTATTACTGAAGAAGAGTTTGTTCTTGATAAAGAAAGCACAACAATATGAATTACCAAGCAATTTTCCCAAATATGTATGAAAGATGCAAGACTGCAATTTATTATTAGATGGAAAGTGTCAATACCATTTCTCTAGCATCAGATATCTGATCATGATCAGTAACAAGAGTTTCATTAGTTTTACAAAACTGGATCACAGAACATAAATTTACACTGGTGATGTAATAGGGGGAAATGTTGAAAAACTAATATATAGAAAATCAGAAGAAAAGTTCATCATCTAATAAAATATACTGAAGGAAATATTGTGAAAGGTTCTACTGATGCTGGACTGTCATGAGAATCATATTTCTTCCCCATATTATAACTTGTGATCATAAATGCTCTAGAATAGCAAGAAGATCTCATAATAGCTAACAGAAGATTGTTACACAGTTAAACCATAGGAACCAACATCCATGTGGGGGTAGGACGAGTCAAAGGTACGAGTCAAATTATTTGTAGTGGAACTATAAAAGCAAAAACATGATAAGCCAACATATGTGGGAGACAAGGCATATCAATCCCCTGAATGCAAGTGTTCCCCAAAATGCCTAGCAAAAATCCCAATATTTGGGTAAGAGAGAAAAAAGAAAAAAATGGTCCAAAGATTAATTCCCTAGAATGGCATGGGTAGAATCTTAAAAACAAACAGAAGCCAAAATTAAAACATAAAATACCTGATTAATCAAGTCTACAAAGGGAGAAGGAGGCCTGGGTAAGACCCCCAAAATGAAACGCAACAGACAAACATATTCAGAAGAAGCTAAAAGGATGCCCAAAATCACATCCACTCGTACAGACACACCTAAGTACTGGTATGACAGGACACTCATCAGGTTATTCAGAATGTTGCCTGAAATTATACAATTCCCTACTGATCATAGCCATCCCGTCAGAGGCCAGTAACTGTGGTACCGACTTCATACACATGGTCAGTAAATCTGCTGTGGCAGTAACAGCAGTGGAAGTCATGACCACCTGAAACTGTGTATGGCATAACTCACAGAATGTTAAAAAGTTGAATACAAAATAGAAGAGAGTGTGTAGATAATTAAATAAATTGCAACTCTCCACAAAAAAATGGAAAAATGACAATAACTGAAGTAGAAAAACACATGGATATAATAACTAAATCATGAGTAAACACATACATCTGTACAATAAGACTGCCAATCAAGAATTTTTAACAAGTGAAGGATTAGAGGGGCACTAGTTATAATTGGAGTAGCATTAATATTGCCAATTTTCCAGCAAAATACAGTTAAAGATTGAGTTAGTGAAAGTGACTTCTCACCATTTGCATCACCAAGTGTTAAATATGTATGTCAGGAGACTTGTAATTCATTATATGATTGTTAGTGGGAAATATGTGCAAGCACCTATAGCATTAACAACATTGTTCAATCAGAACATGGCAAAGAAGTTGATATCAGAAACTAAATTAATTTATATTTTTCTATACCACTGTTAAAGTAACAATCTAATCCATCATTCTAAGTGGATCTGAACAACAATGCTTTTCCAATATTACTACAACACAAAGATTCCTATCAGACCCAGCTAGCAGTTTGCATAGTGAGCACCTGTTCTTACAAGCCAACAAAATTTATAAGGCACAGAAATTGGTTACTTCTACAATATGTAGAGCACACACTGTTCTAAGTCAGAACCTCAAACTCCTTAACTTTAAATACTTAACAAGGATATCTAAGTGAGTAAAATCCTAATAAGAAAGCAAACATTTCAGTGTACCTTCAATAATTAAGTGATGAGCTTAATTTGTATAAGTTTAGTTATTAAGGAATTCAGAATAATGGATTAGGTTGGAGACAACCTCAGGATTTCTAAATCTTTTGGCTAGAATACCAGAGATTTACACAGAGAAATTACAAATTTCTTCTAAAATCATACAAATTTCCATAAAAATACATTTCTTAAATTTTTCAAAATAAATTTGACTTAAAAATGAGAACCTAGCATATTTAATATGACATGCAGACAAAAAAAGACATTTAGTCATTCAAAGCTGTCTTTACACACCCACCCTTAAAAAATTAACACATCCTTCAATTTTCAGGAAATTACTCATTATCCTCATAAACTCTTATTATGAAGCAATTATTTTTAATGGTTCCAATACAAGTACATTACCATTGGTCAGTTTACAAATAAATTCAACATTTCATAATAACTGATCAAAGTTTTTATTACCAAATTCATTCAAACTGAAACTATAAAGAATGTGAAACAAACCTGTAACACTCATCCATCAAGTGTTTGCACAAATTAAAACACGTGCCATCTTTAACTTTACATGTTGTTATAATTTTAAAAAAATGAATTTTTGGTAACTTTAAATATTCCTTAAAGGTGAACAAACAATGTCACAACCACAAAGCTGTTAATCTGATTTTTTAAATGGTAAGCACAATCTTTCTTTTAAAACTATTTCTTTTTATAGATGCTTTTTCTTACTTACATTAATGATATTATTAGACATAACTAGTAAAGTTTGATGGTGACAATAAACTCTTAGGTATTTCTAGCTGTATTGAGGATGTTGAGGTGCTTCATAATGACTTGGATCAATTCAAAAGTTGGCAAAGTATTTGGCAAATGTTTAATTACAGTAAGTAAATGCACTAAGGATATCATGATATGGATCATATATTTTATATAGATAGGAATTAACACATTTAATAACCTGACTGAAGAAAATGATCTTAACATACAGAGGCAGGTAAGTCACTCAGGCCATCAAAGGAGTGCTTGCTCTGTTGCTAACGTAGCAATTTTAGGGTGTATTTATATATATATCTTGATAAGTCAAGAGAGGTAATTATGTGAATGTATCTCCGTTTACAAATCACTAGTGATTCTGTGTAATAGCCTCTAATAACTTTGTGCTTCAGAATATTGAAGGTAACAGGTTGTGAGAACACACATTTTAGGCTGATGAAGACAAGTTAAACTCCAGTTAAAAAGCTAAGAATTCTTCTCTGGACAGAGAAGTAGTAGTCCTGTGAAGGTTAAATTTATAGACAGCAAGTAAAGCAGTGTATTTTATTCTAGCTTTGATATTACCATCAACATCAAGAGTGCTAATACTTTTCAAGGTCAGGTGGAATTTTAATGTTTTTAAAGGCAGTCACTAAATTTTAACTTAAATGGTGGCATGCAGAAGTTTAGGCCTTTAGCTAGAGCATTTTTGCACATTTCAGTAAGCTCGGCATCACTAAGGTTAAAAATCAGTTCATTTGGGTTTAGTGAATCAGGATTTAAAGAGGGAGATAACTTGTTTACTTACAAAATGTAAAAATTCCAACCTTCCTTCAAAAGTAACAGTGCTCTTGATGTTGATAGTTTTATCAAAACTAGAATAAAAACATTGCCTTATCATCTTTCTACAACTTTAACTCTCACAGGACTCTTTCTCCTCTGTCCAAAGAAACATTCTTAGCTCTTAAAGAATGAACTAGCAAAAAGGATATCATTGTTACCAGTTAAAAATATTTTATTTTTATTTTTAACAGGTTGATTGGTTTATGGAATGAGTTGCTGCTGAAAGTAGTGCAGGCCAGAACTTTACAGGAGTTTAAGATGAGGAATTGGTAATATCCTGAAAATTGTTTGTTTGTTTTGAATTTCGTGCAAAGCTACACGAGAAATATCTGCACTACCCGTCCCTAATTTGCAGTGTAAGACTAGAGAGAAGGCAGCTAGTCATCACCACCCACTGCCAATTCTTAGGCTACTCTTTTACCAATGAATAGTGGGATTGACCGTAACATTATAACACCCCCACGGCTGAAAGAGCAGGCATGTTTGGTGGGATGGGTATTCAAACCCACGACCAGCAGATTGCGAGTCGAGCACCCTAACCACTTGGCCATCCTGAAAATAAAGGGTGAGTTTAGATTCTTACTTTTTTTTCAAGCGTGGGTGTGCAAGGACAGACTTGAAGGACCAAACAGTCCTTCTTGTATGTATATTACAGCAGGGTTATAAAAAGCATTAGCCCTTTCATTTTCACCCTGTATAGTTTCAAACAACTAAGATTAACAAATTGCAGTTTGTGACTTTGTTCTCATTTGACACCACAGAGGTTTTAGTTAATTATTTCAACTTCTTTGCTGTGATGACTAACACACTAACAGTCACTGCCACCCCTAAACCAGCAGTTTGTAATAATACTAATATTATTAATTAAGAGTTATGTCAGAGAGTTTTAATATTGGTATTATTATGCAGGATGAAACTGCTGGCTTAGGTGTGATTGCTAGTGTTACTCATCACTGTTGGAGTGTTGGTGTAGAGCAAAAAGATTAGTAACACTAACAATTACAATTTACAGTTACACTATTTATTATTTCGTAACCTTCTCATCTAAGCTGATGACCTGATGTCTGGTATTAGCATTGGTACAATTATTAATACTAATAGTATTATACAGTATTAGTAAGATATGCACACACATATATTATGGTATTAATTATTATTATTTACTTACCCTAATATTTTGTAAGGATTTATCGAGAATTAGATTAAAATTTTCAACTGATAAATCTGGATATAATTCATGGTGCAAAAATTCGTTAGTGACAGATGCATCGCCATAATATTCTCGTCTAGCTAGCCCGTTTAACAGACCTAGTAACGATTTTTGGTCACTTTCTTCTGCCATCATGTATTCACTTCGAAATTTAATTGAAATGCCTATTACTACAAAGTTTGTGAAATCACACTGATTCACTTGACCGTTGTTGTTGAAGTTAGTTATAAATAGTGTAAGTTTTGTCACAACATGAAGCAAAACCAGCCATCTTTGTCAGTTCAAAAAAAGGTGGGGAGATTTATGAGCTGCTTTTAAGCATTATATATTATTATTAAAAAATGACGTTTGTTCCATAGGGAAAAAAATGTTTCTCTTTAGGATAGAAAGTAATAGTAATTATTACATCACAGACAGATTTCCCTTTCCCTCTTTACATACATACATATATACACACACATATATATGTTTTAAATGTTTTAAACTATAATAATAAAAGGGCGTGTAAGTGGGTCTGTGACTGCCATAACTCCAAAAGGAAAGAACTTAGAAACCTGAAATTTTGCACCTGGATATTATTACGTGCGTGCGCGCGTGCATCTTTTTATGAGGCAAGGAAGCAAAAAACCGCGTAGAAAAGAATATGTGACGCCATATATCTAAGACGAAAGACCCTAAAAACCTGAAATTTTGCACCCATACTAATTGGACCATGAGGGTGTGCACCTGGGTATTATTACTTATCCACGTGCGTTCGCGCGTGCATCTTTTTGTGAGGCAAGCTAGCGAAAAACCACATACAAAAGAAGTGTGACCGCATAGCTCCAAGGGGGAACCTAGATACCTGAAATTTTGCCCCCATACTAAGGGTGTGCACCTGGGTATTACTTATCTTATCCACGTGCGTGAGCTTCTTTTTAATGAGGCAAGTTAGGAAAAACCACATAGAAAAGAAGTGGTTCCTTATATTACAAATTATAGATATAAATCACAGACAGACATGCACGTGCGCATCTTTTTAATGAGGCAATCTGGTGAAAACTATATAGAAAAGAAGTGGTTATTCATATAACAACTTTTAATACATAGAAAAGCCAGTGCATTTTCGTAACAATGCGTTCTAACAACGGCTTTTATGTAATTTTGCTTAGGAATAAAAGTATAAACTAATATTGCTGTTGATAGGCTTTGTACTGTTACGTCTCCATTTGTTAATTAACTTTCCGTAACTTCGTTCCGACGAAACTTTAACGACACAAGTCTTTACTTAATAAAACTGGTTTATT